CGCCCACCTCACAACGAAGACAAAAGGAGATCTGCAGGAGAATTGCAAATGAGGTTAAGCGTTGCAAGCCAGCAGTGTTCGTTTGGGAAGGATTCGTCTACAGCCAGACAATTAAAAAATAAAATAAAAATAAAATCCCACCACGACCCTTGCAGATTTTACCTGATACGGTGCTGGCCATGACGGTGTGAGACCAGGAGAGGATGCTGCTGCTGCTGCTGCGGATGAAGATGCGGAGAGAAGAGGCGAGGGAGGCTGGCTTTCCTTTCCTGCCCGAGTGCTGCAGTGCTGTGGCAGAGACGAAGGACTGACTCAGCTCTAGGGGGCTGTGGCTACCCAAGAAGGGAGGAGAGAAAACAGAGACAGAAAGAGAGAGGGGGGGGGGAGAGAGAGAGAACGAGGGAAAGAAAGAAAAAGGGTGTGGAAGGGTTGTGTGTGTGTGGGTGTGTGTGGGGGAAGCACGCCCTAGTGCAGAAAACCCAATTTCTCTGGGAAGGTGGCTTTTGGAGATCCAGATCGGTTCCGGGCACAGGCCTGGGTGCAATAGAGACACGCCCGGACTGGAGATCTGCCTCCCTCTCCTTCTCTTGTCTGGGTGTGGATCGTCTAGCAGTCTGGAATTCCTTTCTTTTTTAAAATGCCCATGGCTTGTGAAACAAAACGGGGCAAATGGACAGGGTGATCGGAACCAGTTAAAGGGATACAGGGGCTTGGGTGGAATCCCTCTGTCTGTCTGGCCTCCTCGGGGTTAACAGAGGCTAACCTGGGAAGATGCCGCCGCCTGCTAACAAAATTGGTGGCGGGGTGTGTGTGTGTGAGCTTTCGTGAGTCACTGCTCACTTCTTCACTGCTCACTGCTGAAGAAGCGAGCAGTGACTCGTGGAAACTCATCCCCTGCCACCAATTTCTGTTAGTCCTGAAAATGCTCCTGGACTCTTGGTCTTTTCTACTGCTACAGACAGACTAACCCATCTTGATCTAATTACCCAGTCGTAATTATGCTGAGGTTCAGTGTGGACAAGTGTAAAGTAATGCACACTGAAGCCAAAAATCCCAACTATAAATACATGTTGATGGGGGCCCAACTGGCCGTACTGACCAGCAGAGAGATCTAGGAGTCATGGTAATTAACTCACTGAAAATGTCAACTCAGTGTGCGACTGTGATAAAAGAGGCGAATCTTATGCTGGGGATTATTAGGAAATAAACTGAAAACAAATCAGCCAGGATCATAATGCCCCTGTATAAATCGATGCTCCCTCTAAGCCATGGAGTCTTGTGAGCTAAGACCAGCAGAGAGATCTAGGAGTCATGGTAATTAACTCACTGAAAATGTCAACTCAGTGTGCGACTGTGATAAAAGAGGCGAATCTTATGCTGGGGATTATTAGGAAATAAACTGAAAACAAATCAGCCAAGATCATAATGCCCCTGTATAAATCGATGCTCCCTCTAAGCCATGGAGTCTTGTGAACTAAGACCAAAATGTGTGAGCCGGAGGCTAAAAAACTGTGAGATAGCTCACACCAACTCATCTTAGAGGGAACACTGGTATAAATCTATGGTGTGGACTCATATGGAATACTGTGTACAGTTCTGGTCACTGCACCTCAAAAGAAACATTATGGCATTGGAAAAGGTGCAGAAAAGGGCAACTAAAATCATAAGCGGATGGAACACCTTCCCTATGAAGAAAGGTTAAAGAGGGTAGGACTCTTTAGCTTGGAGAAACAACTACTGAGGGGGTGACATGACAGGGGATTAAAAATTGTGCATGGGATAGAGAAAGCAGAGAAAGAAGCACTTTTCTCCCTTTCTCACAATACAAGAACTCGTGGGCACTCAATGAAATTGATGAGCAGATAAAAGGAAGTACTTCTTCACCCAAAAAGGAATGAATGTGCGGAATTCACTGCCACAGGAAGTGGTGGCAGCTACAAGCATAGACAGCTTCAAGAGAGGATTGGAGAAACATATGGAGCAGAGGTCCATCAGTGGCTGTTTGCCACAAGGTATAGAGAGGAACTCTCCGTCTGGGGCAAGAGATGCTCTGTATTCTTGGTGCTTGGGAGGCCACAGTGGGAGGGCTACTGGAGTTCTGGCCCCATTGACGGCCCCTGGGTTTGGGCCACTGTGTGACAGAAGTGTTGGACTGGATGGGCCATTGGCCTGATCCAACATGTCTTCTCTTATGTTCTTATGTCTGGGGCAGTGATGCTCTGTGTTCTTGGTGCCTGGGGGGGTCATAGTGGGAGGGATTCTGGAGTTCTGTCCTTGTTGGTGGACTTCCTGATGGTCCCTGGGTTTTGGCCACTGTGTGACTCAAAGTGTTGGACTAGATGGGTCATTGGCCTGATCCAACATTGGCTTCTCTTATGTTCTTATCTGCCACCTGCTAAATTAATCTCACCTATGACTGCTGTAGGCACCATGCCCTAGTTCACAATCTAGTCAAGCTGCTGTCACTGGCACATCAGTTTGTAGTCCTCAGTGTTGATTTTTAAAGCGTGTCCACAGCCAGCTTTGAAACACAAAGTGGAATAATGGAGTGCCTTTCCGTTGTTGGTTTTTTTAAATGTTTCGCCCTTTCCCAGTCCAATCATTCAGAAACACACTTCATACAGTGATCTTTCTCCAAAGGTCACAACCGGGTGAAGAGATTTATAAAGGTCTCACGAGTGGACTGTATCATTCCTTCGGTCCAATGGATTTTTACCTTTACTGTTGTCTTAGTCACTTCAGCAACAGCATTTTAATTTTTTTATTTTCAGTTTGGAAAATCTTGACAGATACCAAACCTCCTGGTGATGGGGCAGAGGCCCTAAACCACTGCCTGGATGTTGTGGTTAAACAGAAGAAGAGATTGGATTTATACCCTGCCCTGCACTACCCAGAGGAGTCTCAGAGCGGCTTGCAAACTCCTCTCCCTTCCCCTCCCCACAACAGGCACCCTGTGAGGCAGGTGGGGCTGAGAGAGCTCTGACAGACACTGCTCTTTTTTTCAAGAACAGCTCTTATCAGAACTACAGCTTGCCCAAGGTCATCCAGCCAGGTGCAAGTGGAGGAGTGGGGAATCAAACCCGGTTCTCCCAGATTAGAGTCTGTGCACTTAACCACTGCACAAAACAGCTACAAGTGAACAAACTGGCTTGGCTGTTATCGGGACCTAGACTGAGCACGCATATTAATTCCTTTCTCCAATCACTCCACTGGATGCCCATCCATTACCAGGCTCAGCTGAGAAGTATTGGCTATCTTCTCTTGCCTTGAAAACCCTACAGGTTTGCCATAGGTCAGCCACAACTTGACCGCACTTCACACACACACACTACATCACATTCAAAGCCCTTCCTGGCCTTGGGCCTTCTTATCTGCAAGACCGTCTCTCCCCCTATAACAGCTGTAGGGATGCCAGCCTCCAGGTGGGACCTGGGGATCCCCCGGAATTACAGCTCATCTCTAGACAACAGAGATCAGTTCCCCTGGAGAGAATGGCTGCTTTGGAGGGGGGACTCTGTGGCCTGTGCCCCCACCGAGGTCCCTGTCCTCTTCGGGCTCCACCCCCAAATCTCCAGGAGTTTCCCAACCCGGATCTGGCAACCCTAGCCCCATCTCCTGCTAGTGGCGAGCCTTTGCCAGTCTGAGTAGACGATACTGACCTGAAGAAGAAGAAGGGATTGGATTTATACCTCGCCCTTCACTACCCAAAAGAGTCTCAGAGCGGCTTACAAACTCCTGGTTGTAGTGTAGTGGTTAAGGGCACAGACTAATCTGGGAGAACCAGGTTTGATTCCCCACGCCTCCACTTGCACCTGCTGGATGACCTTGGGCAAGCCATAGTTCTGATAAGAGCTGTCCTTGAAAAAGAGCCGTTTCTGTCAGAGCTCTCTCAGCCCCACCCACCTCACAGGGTGTGTCTGTTGTGGGGAGGGGAAGGGAAAGGAGTTTGTAAGCCGCCCTGAGACTCCTTCGGGTAGTGAAGGGCAGGGTATAAATCATATCTCTTCTTCTACCTCACAGGGTGTCTGTTGTGGGGAGGGGAAGGAAAAGGAGTTTGTCAGCCGCTCTGAGACTCCTTCAGGTAGTGAAGGGAGGGGTATAAATCCAATCTCCTCCTCCTCCTCCTCCTCCCCCTCCCCACAACAGGCCCCTGTAAGGTAGATGGGGCTGAGAGAGCTCTGACATAAACTGCTCTTTTTTCAAGAACAGCTGTGCCAGAAACTACAGCTTGCCCAAGGTCATCCAGCAGGTGCAAGTGGAGGAGTGGGGAATCAAACCCGGTTCTTCCAGTTTAGAGTCCGCGCACTTAACCACTATGCCAAACTGGCTCCTAATGAACCAGTGGTCTGATTCAGTAGAAGGCAGCTTCATAGGGTGGGGCCGTGGCTCAGTGGCAGAGCAGCTACCTGGCATGCAAAACGTCTCCAGTTCAATCCCCGGCATCTCCAGCTAAAAGGATCAGGAAGGAGGTGATGTGAAAGACCTTCTCTGCCTGAGACCTTGGAGAGCCACTGACAGTCTGAGTGGACAATACTGACCTTGATGGACCAGCGGTCTGATTTAGTAGCAGGTAACATCATGTGTTCCATTGGAGGAAGATGAGGAAGTCTCCTTGGAGGATGGTTGGGTTCACCCCTATATTTATTTATATTAATTCTTTATATCAATATTCATGGTATTGGGTGAGGAGCCAGGGAAAAAAGGCCCTGGGGGCAAGCCAGTCATGAAATGACAGGTTCTCCCCCCCAAAAAAAGCCAGCAGAGGAAGGGAGGCGGGATACCATCTTCAGGGGTCATTTCCTGCAGGAGCACACAGGAGCGGAGCTCCGGCAGTAAAGAGCCCAGGGGGCGGGCACATGCAACAAGCCCCACCCCCTGCTCCCAGCAGCCCTCAGTCAGAGCAAGAAGCAGCCAGACGGCCCGGGAAGCTCCAGACCCCCCCCCCCCCCGGTCCAAAACAGTCCAGTGGCACCTTTAAGACCAAGTTTTATTCAGGTACAAGCTCTCCCTCCTCTGCGAGGACAGATCTGCACGTTACCCCAATAGCTAGCAATCCAAAACAGTCCAGTGGAGCCTGAGCGGTGGGTGTTGCCTTCTGACACACTTCCGGTGATGTCAGGGTGTGTGGCATATGCAAATAAGTTATGCTAATGGGTTATGCTAATGAGCTCCTGCACATCTTTTTCTACGAAATGACCCCTGATCATCTTACCCAGCACATTGTACACATGGGCGAGAAGGATGCTGCTGTGTATCAGATATAACATGGGGAAACGCAGAAGGGAAA